GTTACCTGGCCACTTGAGGGCATTATTAACATTGTGGTTGGTTAGTTTTCCTTCACAAGCCAAAAAACAAAGCAGCAAAACCCACGAAACACCACTCCAGCTCACTTTAAAACATTTTACACCCATTTAAAATAAAACAGTATACTGTTGGTAGATCGGTGTTAAAATACATTCTTTTGTGATTTAAATATTAACAATGTCTATTCATGTACTTAAGATTTCATATACCAAGTCTATGAAATAACATCTTGTATTCAGAAGACATCGAAACCCTTTACAAACTGTTCAGCACTGCAAACATTTGACATTAATTTTTTATATCTTTTCAAGGTAGTTAACCCAGATTTTCAAATGAGAAGCACAAAGATGCTAAGAAGTGATCTGACCAATTCCACGTGGTGAGTCATAATAAGCAAGAGAAACCACTGTCAACAGATTCTAACTTTCACCCTCAACACAATTCTCTATTATCCATATCCACACACAGAGATGTCCACATACTTCTTTGTTTAAGGTACAGAGTACTTCCGTCTTTTTACTTGTTTTCCTAGGTGACAATGAGAAACTCAAGTTGAGCTCTTCGGCTTTTACTGCCTGCGCCGCCAGGGAAAGCATATACAACCCCAGCCAAGTTGCTATCTTGTTTTCACTAGATTAAAAAGGAACTACGTACAGCTGAGATTTCCAGAAATAATTATTTTACACTCATAGGGTGTGTAATGTGTATACACAGCCCCACAAAGGAACCACCACGCTGAATTATTAAGGACAAAGCAAACATTACCTAGACATTACTTAAGTCTCTCCTGGCCTGCTATAAAGAAGTGAGTAATTCCTCACTAGAAAAGACCAGAGACTCACCAAAGATATTCTTACCCAGCAATCAAAACCTAAGCCAAAACCTCTTCCAGAAGCAAGACTAATTTGAGACCATCTACAGCTATTTCCTTCAGTTAGGAAACTACCTATGTTACTAAATATCAGCCAGGAGCACCTCTCCTGTTGCCACCGAAGAGATGCCAAGTATAGCACTCTTGCAGTAAAGATCAAACAGTGAAGAATTTGAGACTTGTCCTTATCGCAATCCTTATTTTGAGTTAAACAAAACCCTAGCCTGGCTCAGTAACCTGAAGTCTTAGTCTTCTAAATATTTCATAGGATGTGTAGGATAGAATTCTGGCAAAACAAGTTTCAGCTACAAGAAAGTGTCTGTGAAGTCACACTGTATAATAGGATATTACTTCATCTGTTAGTTTAAAGACAAAAGTCTTTTTTGGTCTTTAAAAAAAAAAAAGTTTATTTCCTGTTGTGTAGCATCTGGCTTCCATTACCAAAAGGAGCCAAAAGCTGGCAGTAAGCCCAAGAAGGTTTTCTAAATAATTTGTGGAGGGAATGGGAGAATATTCAATGCCCTTTATTCTTACTTAACACACAAAAGAAAAGGAAACAATATAGTTTTGAAGCCTTATACACCTGTTCATCTCACTTTACACAAGGATTTTAATTAAGAGCTTGTCTTTTCTAAATCCTATTGAACTGGCATAGGCAACCACTAAAAATACCACAGATTTATTGCAGGCTTGAGAACTGCAACTTTCAGTACCTTCATGTTTAGTATTCTTCCACTAATCAGTCTTTGCAAGTGATAATAATCTATTTTAACAATATAAACTATTAGCTTTAAACAGCTCAGCCCTATGCCCTAGGTAAAATTAACTCTAGTAGTCAGGTGATTTTTTTAAAAGATCTTTCTTCCAGAATTCTGAAATCTTTAAATTCCACTGCTATTACATTTTTCTTCAGTTTTTTTCTGAAAAGAGGATGACATACTCCCATGTTAGCTGTAGTCTCTAGTATTCATTCAATAACGTTAAAGCTGAAAGTTTTTCCTATTACAAAACCAAACGTGTCATCTGGTGATGCTTCTGTGTAACTCCTGTTGCTGATGTTACTATAATTGGGAAAGCAAAAGACCTGAATATAAACATCAAGAAAAATGATGGTGTCAGTTTTAATGACCCTTCCAACAGTGATTCAGCAAATTCGTTGCTCAGATGGAAAATGTACTCATCTTAAAAAGCAGAAATCTTAATTTAAACTAAGATTTCATTTGCTGAACCACATAGTAAAACCCAAATCCTTATTCTAAGTTCGCACAGCTCGCCAAACGACAATTACAACAGCAGCTGGTCTAAATGAAAACCCAGTCTCTGAAGTCTTTCCACCCGTTCTCAGGGGCACATTTCAAAGCAAGCACCATCATTACCTACAGAGAAGGCTCCTGCTGTCCTAGAAAGGATCTTACTCACAGAGATTACAGTCAGTATTCTTACTTTGTCAACTCAGCCCTCTGACAAAAGACGTTCTCTTCAAAGTGTTTTATAAAAGCAACGGGTTTTCTTCTTCTGCCTGCAGTTTCACATGTTTCTAAAAAGGTATGAATGGTAGGCCACAGCCTTCTGAGGTTAGAAACTTTCAACAATTTTAATTTTTACAAAGAATGCCCCAAGCAAACTTTGGTAAAGAGATTCAACCTACTTAAGTAATGCTTCTATTGCTAAAGAAAAAAAAAAAAAACAAAAAACTGTAGTTCTATGACTGAGAACAGGATCTTAGAAAACTGTTTCAGCAACTCTACAAATAAGGCTCTCAGTAAAATTAATAGTGAGGATGTTAAAAAATGAACAGACATGTGTCTGCACTTGATAAAATCCCACCAGATCTGCTTATCAGCCTAAGAGGACAGACTTGCTCCCAAACCTTACTCAGCAGCAAAATTATCTAGTGAGGGCCTACCCACTGCCAAGCACTGTAGTGGGCACACCAGGAGGCAGCATCTCTAGTCAACAGATTCCTAGTAAATATGTAGGATCCTGTCTGTCCTGTGGACAGGCGCTGCAGTCCTAGGGCCTCAATGAACACCTCGCACAGAATAAACACAATTTTTGAAAAATTCACAAAAGATCCATTAGAAGTTTAGGAGTTAACATATAATGTAATGAAAGTGGGACAAAGAGACCCTTCTATTCACACTGTAGCCTTCATTCTTTCACAGGCCAAATTCACAGTTGTGACTGTTGGAATTTCACATGTATTCCTACCCCACACACTTGGTTATGACACACAGGATTATGTCAAAGTCCACTGTGATAAAAGATGTAAAAGTCCTCTGAAAAGAACAGACCAAATTCCAAATGGAAACTGGCACTAGGAAGTTTGGATCTGTGCACTTCAAGATTTCATTAAATTTGCACACCTGATGACTTGATTTCAATCAGAGGTTACAGAGTCCCACGTCTAACCTCAACATGTTGCATTTGCTCCTCTGTAAGTTGAAATATTACAAGTGGTTGTTCCTAACAACCTCCCACAGGGGGAAAGTGCAGTGTAGACTAACATGCCTGGTAGAAGAGAGTCGTGAAAACAATAATCCTGTGTGAGTGCCTTAGTTCAGGTCAACAAATGTTAAAATTGAGTTTCTATTATGTGCTAAGTAGTGTGCTAGATTTAAAAAAAAAAAAAAACCTGTACAGAGCTACACTTTCTAAATACAGTAAAGAAAAATATTTAGTTTTGATTATAGGGCAAACTGCTTCATTTCTTTATAGAGAAAGGTTGCAATTGCAAAATAGTTGCCTCATAAATTCTGGAGACAGTATCAAACTAGGCCATCAATCCTTCTGGGGCATTCTGAAAATAGGCTAAAACGTAAGACAAATCTGCCTTGTGGATGTTGTGAATGTGACAGCAAATACTGCGCTGCAGCCACTGAATAGATTAGAGACTATGTAAGCATAATTACTTACATAAACTTTGACTTATATAAAGACTATATAAACTCTGATTCAAGCCACAGGCCACAACATATTGATTTAAGAAATCACCTTCCCCCAAAAGAGTTCCTTATGTTTCTTTTCCGAGTCTTTTAAGCCTACATTCTTTTCCCTCCTAAGTTCAATGGTTAGCATGAACAAACATCATGGTCATTTAATATTCAACTAAATGAGATGTTAATTTTTTATGCCAGTTGAGAGCTGAAAAAGTTGATTTACACAGAATTGCTGAAAGAGAAGATGCCTGAAAAAAATTTCTCAGGGGACAGGAAATCCACGACAGGCCAAGATAGGAATGAATGCCTGTTGTTAAAAAGCTAGGGGGCAAAGCGAAGGACTTGGCATCTGGTAAATAACGCCTAAGTAGCTCCCCTTCTCATCCCGTCTAAGACCAACTGAAAAAGCTGTAAATCAGGTGGCGAAGAAGAGATAGGGGTTTGAGCAGTGACTAGGACGGCTCCTCATTCTGAGTGTTTGGGTTCAAAAATACTTTGCCCTACGGCAGAAACTAACACAGTATTGTAAATCAACTATACTCCAATAAAAATCAGTCAAAAAAAAAAAAAACCCCAAAAAAACGACTTGGTCCCACACTGGTGGGAAGTCACTTGGCCGCTGTAGCATCCGCGTTACCCATTTGGAAAAGTGGAACAATATGAGTTACTCTCTCCACGGAGTTACTGTGCGGATCAAATGTGTGCGCGATTCCAGCCACACGGCACTGCTACCCCCGGCCCACCACCTGCAGCAGCTCACACTCGCCGGCTGGGAGCACCGGCGGTGGTTACTCCCCGACGCGGGCAGCCCGGTAAGGGGCCACCCCTCTCCGCTCCGAGGAACGCCGTGGGGATTAAATCAGTTAATCCCCGGAGAGAGCTCCAAACGGTGCTTGGCGCCCGGTCAGCTCCGGACACGCAGTAGTGGCGGGGACGATGGGGGATGCTGATGACCGCGCAGGAGCCCGGGCCCGCGCGGCGGAGTCCTCCCGAGCGGGACCGGCAGACGCGACAGTCCCAACGCCAGGTGAGCGCCAGATCTTCCCCGATCCTGGCGTCGGTGGGCCCCAAGCAAAATCAACTTTTTAACAGTTTCGCGGCCAGGAGGTGAAGCCTCGAGCTGGCAGCCGCCCTGCCCTGGCCAGGCCCCGCCTGGCGAAAGCACCCTCACCTTGCTGGAGGTCCTGGTGGTCGTACCACGGCTCGTCCTCTTTCATCTCAAACTCCTCCACCAGGTTTTCTGCCAGCATCTTGGACGGCTCTTCCGGGGGCACTGGCCCCCGCCGCCGCCGGCCCGCCTCAGCCGCTGCCCCAGGCTCTCCGCCGGCCCCTCCGCCCTCAGCCAGAGCCGCCCTCGGGCGGGACGCGCCGCCGCCCAGGCTCCACCGCGACGCCTGACCACAGCCGCCCGCTGCCGCCGCCGGCGCCGCCACGGGGCGGCCCGCAGCGCACGCCGCGGACCGGCTTCCCTCGCGCCGCCCAACCGCCCCAACGGCTGGCGCACGAACGCGAGCGCCTGAGTCGGCTCTCTGAGCCGGCTGCTCACGCCGCAGCCGAGCCCAACGTGGCACTTTGGCAGAACCCTCCCCGACCGGGGCTGCGATTCAAATCCCCGGCGGCGTCTCAGCCAATCGCGAGCAGGCCGCAGGCCGAGCGGCGGCGACGTCGCCCAATCGCGTCCCGCCGCAGGCCCGCGGTTCGCCCGTATCAGAGGCAGGCGGCCAGTGGTGACTCCGAAGGAAACAAAGAAGGCGGGAAAAGGCCAAGGGGTGCGGCCGAAGGTCCCGCCCTCTCCTCTTTTCGAAACGCTTCTGGGCGTGCATTCGGCGAGCTGGGGTGAGGAGGTGGTGGCCTCCGCTGCCACTGTGGTGGGTGGCCGGCTGCCCGGCCGGTGGACGGGCTAAGTGGGCGTAAGGGTCAGACGTACGGTCTACGAGCAGCGGACGGTTGCGGGCGGGAGGCGCGAGGCGTGCCGGAACCCTGAGGGCCGCTGCTCCGCCGACCCCTGCCGGTCTTCTGACTCCCAGATTGGCTCTGCTTGACGCCGGAAAATCGAGGATCGGTTGGAAGTTCAGGGCAGTTAACTGTTTTCTTCTTGATATCTGAGCCCTCACCTCCAAATCGCTGAAAATATTTGTACTGCCCCTGAAACGGTGGGCCTCAGACCCACCTGAAGGTGCAGTTGAAGCGACTCCTGAGAAAAACATTGCAAGCGTTTTTGCATACTTTTTTTAAAAAGAGGTCACAAGTTAAGCATCTGGAGTCTTGACGTTACACCTGGAGAGAGGAGAATGCAGCCCTTGCACTTGATGGCCAGAAGGACAGTGAAAGCTATTGTCTGCACACAACAAAATAAAATCGGCTCGTAGGTTGTGGCTTTTACCATCTTCCTGCAGACAAAACACAGAAATTCTAAAATAGGGTGACAGATCAGAAAGTCATTGTTCTTCGCCTTGTTGTAATGGTAAAGGTACAGCTGACAGAAGACAGCTATGGTAGAATGCCAGTCGATAAGCTTAGAGGGAACAGTCGTTTCAGAGGTGATAAAAGAGGGATCGTAAACTCACAAATCCTTTTCTTCTAAATCCAGGGACACTAAGAAGCAAAATGTTACTGATCTATTTTTATTGTTAGGTTAAGAAAGAAACTAGGTTCACTGTTCTGCCCTAACTGCCTTTATTCTGGTAGAGGTATTATTAGTCCAGAGCCAAAAAAAAGGAAATAACTAAAACTATCTTAATTTACAAGTCATTGCAGATAAAGCTCTTTGGAAAGAGAGATGATGGATTTAGGATTTGCTGATGGTGATTTGTTGAAGCTGAAGGGCCAGAATCCTGCCTCTGATCTTCAAGAAACTCATCTTTCATAGCCACTAGTAACTGAAAGTGCTAACCCTTTCACCATGGCAAAAGCTTATTTTGACTCCAAATCAAAGGGGAAACTGTATTGAAATGTTCTTTAGCATTCTTCAAAAAATAAATGCAAAACAGCAACAAAAAAAGAACGATTTGAAGAATTAAAGTTATTGATGATTTTAAATGGCAAAAAAATCCACACGAAACCCAACACACCAGACTTTATGCCTTTTAGCATTAGTGTGTTCTCTTTAAGGACACTGTTTGGGGGAACTTCTTTTTCCGCCCCGGAAAAGCTTAAACAAAAATTGCACTGAAAAAGACAAGTTCGCTTTCAGTGCTTAAAAGCCCTGCTTTCAAGGGGTCTCCATCATTCTTTAGAGTCCATGTAGTCATAGCTGAGAAGCAATCATAAGCAGCCTCTTCAGCAACATTATTATTTGGTTTAGCAATAGGTTAACAATAACAACCCAAGTTGATTCTGAAAGGAGGGTTTTGGGTTTTCATTTAATAATTCACCAGGATTTAGTGCATGTTCCCAGCCTAATCATTACACCATTTTGCTACTTTTAAACTCTTCAATATTAAACGCTTTGTATTAAAGAAGAATCAGGTTCAGAAATCCTTTGTTCCTGCTTGTAAAGATAAACTATTCTTGTTCTTTGGTGTTTTGTTGCTATAGTAAAGTCAAGTGAGAGTTTTAAGTAGTGTTAACTTTAAAGTGATTGTAAGTGGTGGTTTTCAGTTTGATACCTACTGAAATAAGTGTTTATTATAATAAAAATAATCTAAAGCAAAATATCAATAGTTCCTTTTGCAGATGGAAATAAGGAAGACTTTTACTTCCTTTTGTCAGTATATATAAGCAGAAGTTAAGGCTATGGAATTTTTTATAATGTTATCAAAACTTTGTATCCACCATATATATGTGTGTGTGTGTGTGTGTGTGTGTGTGTGTGTGTGTGTATATATATATATATATATATATATATATATATGACATTATGTTTCAGACAAGATGGGTGCTTTGTTTCAGACAAGATGGGTGCTTAACTCAAAATCTTTTTAAAAAATTTGAACTCAGCTAAGCAAGCTTATGACTCCTTGCAAAATTCTGAGTTTATAAATACCTGCCTTCTGACTTAATGATAGATCAGTTCAGAAGGTGTGGCACACTTCTTGTTTTAGCATGCCTAAAATAAAAGTAAGAGAAAGAAGAGTGCCTAGATTTTGGTGGGCTGAATTGGTGTCTTAGGGCTTCTCTGGTGCTCAGTGGTAAAGAATCCACCTGCCAATGCAGGAGATGTGGGTTCAATGAGAAGATCTCCTGGAAAAGGCAATGGAAAGCCACTCCACTATTCTTCCCTGGGAAATCCCATAGACAGAGGAGCCTGGCAGGCAACAGTCCATGGGATCACAAAAGAGCTGGACCCAACTTAGTGACTAAACAACAACAAATTTGTATCTTGGCTTTTGGTTCTGCTGACCTCCTTGTTTGGCACTCTCTTAGTAACCAGTGGCCTCGGCTTCAGTCTTCATTCTCACTTATGCCAAAAGTAAGTTCCTTGAGTGAGGTCTTCAGCAGTAGTTCCCAGCTTTTTCAAACTGGAGAATTACCTTCATAGCCAAAAATGTTGGTTCATCTCCACATAATAGTACTTGTATTCTCCAAAGATTTGAGCATGCATAGTAACAAAGAAGTTCATATATATGTATCTTATCATTACAGCAGAATCTATAGACATTTCAAGAAAGCTAGTACACTAGCGAGCGCTAGAAAGACATGAGTTTGAGCCGGCTTCAGGAGTTGGTGATGGACAGGAAAGCCTGGCGTGCTGCAGACCCTGGGGTTGCAAAGAGTCGGACGTGACAACTGAACTGAACTGAGTACACAAACAGGCAGATAGTCTGTATTTTTTTTATAGACGATGTTTGATCTACAAATAGATTTATTAACCCTTTTTGATAATTCTCTACTTCCTATAGAATTAAAATCATTCTTGCATCTACATGATGCAAAATGAAGCTCAGTGAACCAGTGAAGTTGCTCAGTCTTTGCGACCCCATGGACTGTAGCCTACCAGGCTCTGTCCATGAAATTTTCCAGGCAAGAGTACTGGAGGGGGTTGCCATTTCCTTCTGTGAATGAAAGTCAGGAACTTAGGTAATTCGATCATTTGAGCCAAATGTCCACTTCCCCCTTATAACTTGCTCTCCGCATTCCCAAGAAATTGGGTAGTATAGACTGAGGTGCCTGCTTAATTCCCAAGGATTATTTAAGCAAGTAGCATCTCTTGGATTATCTGAATATTTGTATTTTCTGCCTGAGTAAGATTTTGGAGACCTTCCTTTTAAAGAACCCACCTGAAAATGCAGGTAGACATCAGAGACATGGGTTTGATCCCTAGGTTGGGAAGATCCCCCAGAGAAGAGATCCCACTCCAGTATTCTTGCCTGGAGAATCCCACAGAGGAGCCTGGCAGGTTGCAGTCCATAGGGTCACACAGAGTTGGACATGACTGAAGTGACTTAGTACGCACACACCATTATAAAACAAGAAAATTCTGGTGTTATTTTAAAACTATAGTCAAGATTAAAAAAGCAAGACGAGTCTATACCTACCTCGTGCTTGGTTAACTTTTTCCTGCTTTCCAGTTGGATAAATCAAATCCATGGACGGGTAAAACAATAGGCTGGATTTAAGAGGAAGGTTTACATTACAGCAAGGACCAAACGGGTTCTTTCTATACCCCTGTTCGCTGTGTCTTTTGGGCCAAAGTTACATAGGCTATAAGATCAAAAGAGAATCAAAAGAATAACAAGAGAAGATCAAAAATGAATCTCCCAACGCAATCTGTACTACTGAATGGACAACTTTATACTAAGATGAAAGGCTTGCTTCTATTCTTTCTCTCAGACACCACTTAAGGATGTCACCTCATTGTTTTTTTCTGTTGCGCCCTCCCAAGTAGGGAGGATAATAATGCCATAAACATATCTCCCTGGTCACTAGTTAAACATTTCTAAACTCTTTGATATATTTCACTTTTATAAATTAGAAGAGATATTAAAATATATATTCAAGTAGAGCCACACTCTATGCAAAATAGTGTTCCTGGAAACGTCTCAAAAATTGTCGAATAAGTGTATTAAGAAAGTAAAGTGTTAAATCTGGTTGCATATTCACAGCTAGTGCTTTTGGACTTTGATGTAACTAAAGTTAACTAGTATCTGGTGGAATTTTGTCACCCATCAGCTAAATCAGCTCTTGTACACAAGTAGTGAATGTTAATCATTTCTTTTTTTCTTAAACTCAAGGAAGAAGAATTCCTCTGCATGGAAAATGACATTTTTAAATATCAAACCCATTGCTTGGGCATTCTCTCTAATAACCTTAGGGACTGAAATGCTGAATTCTGTCTTCAGTTTCTACTATGTAAAGCTTTTTTTACATCTGTACAAGGTTTCAGAAGTGGCCTTTTACCAAGCCCAGGTGAGATGGAGCCCTTGTCGCCCTTTTACTTTAGGAAAGCTTCTCCTTCTAGTTGTGCCTTGTGATTTTCCAAAAAGCTGATGCTTCACAAGTTGAAAGAGTTACCAAGAAAAGGTTATCCACATCCAAGAACCTCTGTTTAAGGGCAAAGAGACTTTTCAAAGATGGTCACTTATAACAGCTTTAATGCATATGTGTTAAATGTAGAGAAATGATACAGATGGACCTATTTGCAGGGGAAGAACAGAGATGCAGATGTGGAGAACAGACGTGTAGACACAATGGGGGGGTGGGGCGTTGGGATGAATGGCAAGATTTAGACTGACGTATGTGCAGTGCCATGTGTAAAACATAACCGATGGGAACCTGCCGAATACCACAGGGAACTCAGCTCGGCTCTCTCTGGGGACGTAGATGGGTGGGATGGAGGTGGATAAGAGGGAGGGCATATATGTATACATATAGCTGATTCATTTCCTTGTACAGCAGAAACTATCAACATTGTAAAGCAACTATATCCCAATTATAGTAAACAATGACAACTTAGAGTTTAACGGGTACATTTTTGGTTACCTGGAAAAATTCCTTACGTGGAAAAATTAGAATTGTTATTAAGATATTCTGTGGTTTGAAATGGCCCATATGTTCACACATTGTATTGTAACTCATTACCAATTAGGTGGTCAAGATGGATAGAGTTCATGGTCTTAAAAACCCATATGGTTTATAATGTTACTTGTTTATTACTAACAACATCCTTGATCTAATAAGTTTTTTTCCATTTTGAGATAGCAAACACTAATATTTTAACCTTTCCTAATGAGATTATGTAAAACCGTGCCATGGTCTGTAAACAGGCCATCATTCTTTGCGAAGGCATGGACGTGTGCCTTGTGGGGAGACACTGTAGCATAATGATTGAAAGCACGGACTTCAGGGTCATCTGCCCTGGCTCAGTCATTTATTAGCCGAGAAAGTTGCTTAACTTCTCTGACCCTCAGTTTCCTTATAAAGGATAAGAATAGTCCCTGCTTCATAGGGTTGTTTTAAGGATTTAATGAAATAATTCGTGTAAAAATGTGTTCCGTGCCTAAACACAAAGTGAATGCACTCTGGTTTGGGGGTAGTATTAGCTGTCCTTGGACTTTCCTGGTAGCTCAGATGGTAAAGCGTCTGCCTACAATGAGGGGGACCCAGGTTCGATCCCTGGGTCGGGAAGATCCCATGGAGAAGGAAATGGCAACCCACTCCAGTATTCTCGCCTGGAAAATCCCATGGACTGAGGATCCTGGTAGGCTACAGTCCATGGGGTCACAAAGAGTTGGACACGACTGAGCGACTTCACTTAGCTGTCATTATTATTTCAGTATGTATACTTCCTGCTGATTCTGGAAGCAGTGACTTTTTTTTTTTCCAACTGATCAACTTTGGTTACTTCATATTAGTTAAAAATTCAAGTTATTTTCATCAGGATAAACTACACTAAAATAATCCTGTGGTTGTTTTTTTTTTTTTCCCTAGATGATTTTAATGATTTGGAATGCTCTTAACGACCTGACGGGGTATTTTCACAACAACTCTAAGGCAGACTGCTGTTCCAGTCGTCACAGTTCTGTTTTGTATGGTGCCCCTTTATATGCAGCAGCCTTCCTGCTTCCTTGGTTCCCCTGGAAATACTATCATGAAGGTGACTGGCTTAGTGGGCTTCACCTGGTGGTATCATTATGCGCTTTTGACAGCACGCTTACCTTTGTTCAGCAAGCCCAGTGTATACTGTTTGCAGAAATTTTCACTAGATACGAAAGTCGGCTTCAGCTTATTAAAATCAACCAAGTGGCGTCACTGGTAGGATCTACCAGTATCCTCTTCTGTAGCCTCATCTCTGATAACATGGAAATTTTGCTCAATTTTCAGGTCATCGCTGTTGTTGTTGCCATTTTGGCCACTGCCAGCCTTTATACTGGCATGTGCCACCTGAGTCGCTTAGAACCTAAAGAAGCCCCGAGGAAAACCTTTTCTCAGAAACTGTACAGGATCTCCCCTGGACTTCTGTCATCTCATTGATGAGACAAATCTTGACCCAGAAAAACTTTCGCCTTTTTCTGATAGTGAATTTCTTCCAAGTCTTCCATTTAACCTTCTTCAGTAACTTCATGATGATATTTGTTGATAACCTCATTCCCACGGATGTTCTTCCTTCTTCCATAAGGAGCATCATGTATGGGGCAGGCTTTATCTGCCCACAGGTATGTGGTGATTCTTCATGTATCTTCCTAAAGGGATTAAAGATATAACTGTTACCTAGGCTAGGGCCTTCCCTGGTGGTTCAGTGGTAAAGAATCCGCCTGCCATTTCAGGAGATGCAGATTCAATCCTTGGGTCAGGAAGATCCCCTGGAGGAGGAAATGGCAATTTTCAGGTCACCCGCTCCAGTACTCTTGCCCAGGAAATCCCATGGACCAAGGAGCCTGGCGGGCTACAGTCCATGGGATCGCAAAAGAGTCGGACATGACCTAGCAAATAAACAAGAACTTACCTGGCTGAGAGTTAAAAACCTGATTGTATCAGTAATAAAAAAATGATTCGGATTTATTAAGAGGCCCAAAGCTTCAGATTCCCTGCATCAGACAAGATTCAGTAGGAATATGATGGAAACAAGAGATGCAAAGAAGAAAGGAAGGAAAACCCAATAAAAGCTGAGCACTGTGATATTTTTAATATTTTAGCTTTTGAATTTTGTTCTCTTGAGCTTCCTCATTTAAACCTCTGCAGAGCTACGGAAGAAAATTCATGGCTTCCTGTGAACATGTCATTTTGCTTTATCCTGATATTTAAGATTCCTGTGACTGTTAGAAGGAAGAAAAGTTATTTGATCATGGATTCCTGAAGCCAGGTTTCAAAAGCACTTGGCTAAAAAACGAAGTCCTAGAATTCCAGAGTGTTAGTAAAATTCCATGACCATGACCATTATTGTAGAGGGTGTGTCTTTCTTCAAAAAATATACTAGCCTGTTGTTTTTTTACACGATTTGGAGAACTCATGAATAAAACTGCTTCCCTTAACCTAAATCTATCCTGCAAAAATATGACTTGACCTAGCCTATGATATAGATTTTTCCTGTTTTCACGATTAAAATCTGTAATCTGTACCCTTCAGAGAGTAAGTTGAATAACTTAGATAGATGAGTTTTTACTATTTACTAACTTTTACAAAGATTTAAGCCCTGTGGAATAGAAATAGTTCTGAAATGTTCTAAGTGTTGCCACACTTTCTTAGGCAAAGTATATGGGATAGAATTTGCCTTTCTGCCATTAGCTCAAGGCCTTTATCATAGTTTGGTTACTGTATATACCATAATATTGAGAACTCACATTTTTTTGAGTGCTTACTGTGTGCCAGGGACTATGCCAAGTATATCGTATACATTATCTCATGTAATCCTAACTACCATTATCTTGTGCAATCCTGACAAATACCTTTGAGAGAAAGACCTTCCAAATGAGAAAAGAGAGGCTCAGAGGCCCTTAAAGTTGTACATTTTAAGATTCTGTCATGGTCTGTTTAGCAGAGATTACCAAATAAAGTATCAGTTTTTGGCTTAGCGATATAGTCTCGGGTACTATGTGTACATAATAAAATTATACTCTTCCTTAATGGCAGTTTGAGAGTTTTCAAGCTGTTTGTTGCTGTGTTCAATGACCCAGAATGGGGAGCTGCTTAAATTCTTGTCTCTATTAGTTATTGTCAGATTCTAGGCTATATATACATTCTCATTTTTAATCATGTACTTGCCTATAGTATCTCCTCTTCTCCAGGCAAAAACAAGTTTGTTAAACTCTTACCTAATTTTTTTTTTTTTTTTTAAAGAGTAGATAGCTATTTGGAGGCTTCCCAGGTGGCTCTGTGGTAAAGAATCTGCCTGCCAATTCAGGAGACACAAGAGACATGGGTTAGATCCCTGGGAAGATCTCCTGGGTAAGGAAGTGGCACCCCGCTCCACTATTCTTGCCTGGAGAATCCCCATGGATAGAAGAGCCTGGCGAGCTTACAGTCCATAGGGTCACAAAAATCAGGACTGGGCGACTGAGCACACACACACATGGGTATTTTTAAGCAGCTTCATTGAGATGTAACTCACATACCATACTTATTAATTCACCCATTTAAAGTATACAATTCAGCGGGTTTTAGTATATTCACAGACACATATAGCCATTACCACAGTCAGTTTTACTTTTTAAAAAAATTGTAAACTTTTTGGTTGTGCTGTGCATCTTGCAGGATTTCAATTCCCTAACCAGAGACTAGGCCCAGATCGCAGCAGTGAAAGCCTGAAATCCTAACCACTAGGGCACCACAGAACGCCCACTGCAGTCAATTTTAGTACATTACATTTTTTAAAAAAATAAATATGTATGAGTTGAAATAAGGTGGTTTTTTGGTTATGGTTTCTCTGAGGTATGATTGACTCTCAGTAAACTACATGTATTTAAACTGTATGACTTGGTACATTTTGACCTATGTCTGCACCGTGAATCTATCACCACAATCAAAGTAGTAGACATACCCATTTCTCTCCAAATTGTCTTTGTGCCTCTTGGTAATCTGTCCCTTTAATTCTATCTATTTTCTAGATTTTTATATACATGAAATAATATAATATGTACTGTTTTTTGGCCTGGATTCTTCTGTCGCCTCCTTGTGGTTATCAATACTTCACTCCTTTTTATTGCTGAATAATATTCCATTGTATGGATATACAACAGTTTGTTTACCTATTCACTTTTTGATGGGCATTTGGGTTTCCAGTTTTTGGCTATTATAAACAAAGCTGCTATGAGCATTCATGTCTTTGTATGGACACATTCTTTTCTTTCTCTTGGATAAACCCCTTGAAGTAGAATGGTTGGTCTGCATGGTAGGTGTATGTTTACTGAAGACACTGACAACCTGTCTTCCAAAGTGGTTTACCATTTTACATTCCTCCCAATAATATAAAGTTTTCCAGTTGTTCCACCTTCTCGTCAGTACTATATCAGGCTAGTTAGTTCTGGCCATATTAGTAGGTGTGAAGCAGCAGTATCTTACTATGGTTTTGATTTGCATTTTCCTGATGACTGCTAATGATGTTGAGTATCTTTTAATGTGCTTACTTGCCACACATATGTCTTTTTGATAAATTATTTGTTCAAATTTTTAAAAATTGAATTGTATAATGTTGAATTGTAAGAGTACTTTATATATTCGATATATTATGTAGCTCAGTAAAAGTGCTTTTTTAGATGTATGTTCAGCCATATTTTCTTCCAGTCTTTCTTGGCAACTAAATTTTAAGAGAAGTATAGCCAAAAGACTTCGATGATTCTTTTCTCAAACCTTCATACTAACATATGTGTTTCTGTTGATCTCAATAAAAAAATCATTATAAAATGGAAATCCAAAATTGCCTTAAGTTTTATTCTTGATTTCTAGAAAAGTGACACCTATAAATTATCGGGGGCAAAAAAGACAGCTCTTGGGAATTTGCTGTTGTTTTTTGGCTAGGTCACTTTAACACACTGCCGGTTGGTTCTGGTAATGAAGGCTAGGCGCTGTATTTTCATTTTCTCAGAGTGTCTTCCCCATGGCTTTCTTTTAAGGAGTTGAATAAATGAAAGGAAAGAAGAATGAGGAAGTGTTCTTTCTCTGTAATAACTGTTTTAATAGGCTTGTGACTCTTCCACATTCCACTCACCTCCAGGAGGCAGAATAGTAAATGGGTTAGGAGCATGGAGACTGCCCAGGGAGAAGTCTGCCTCCCCTCTTATTAGCTGTGTGACCCTGGTTAAGTTATTGAAGCTCTCTGTGTCTCAGTTTCCTTCTCTGTAAAATGGGAATAAAAATGGTGCCTAAAGATTATAATGAGAATTAAATGAATTAACTTTGTAAGGCATACAAAGTTCTTGAAATAGTTCCTGGCACAAAATAAACACTCTAGAAATGTTAACTTTTATTATTAAATCTCAGTACAGCAAATATTTATTAAATATTCACTGTAAACACAGCACTGCCTTTGTCTTTGTTTCGATTTAAGCTTCTTTGGCATCTGTTTGCCAACACTTGTGCTGGGACACATTATTCACGAGCTTCTACTTAATAAACACATGAATGGAGAGCCAAAATCCTCAGTCTGTGGAAAGCTGTATTTTAGTACAAGCAAAAGTGGTCTCTTTTTGTGTTGTTTATTACTCCTCGTTGGCTCATGTGTTTTTACACTGGACAGAATTATAACAGCTACCAATTATTAAGTACTTTGTATGATGAGAGAGACAGAGACAGAGGGGGGAGTGCTAGAGGGAGGAAATGCTTCTTAGGTAAAGTAAGCTGGTAAAAGTGGCAGAGCCAGTGTGGACTTTAAGAAAAATGCACAGCATGAGAGGTGCAAGTTAAGTTTTACTGGGTGCAATGTGAGGACTGCTGCCCAGGAGACAACACCTCAGGTAGCTCTCTGAGAAACTGTTTCAAAGAGGTAGAGGACAGTATATATATGAATTTGGTAAAGGGGGAGTACATGCAATCAAGCATACTTATTTTTTAGAAAGTTTCTGCTGGTCTCTGCTAGTCACAAAAAAACAGTTGTCACCATGAAGGATTTTAGTGCTTTTCTAGGTATGAGAAGATACAAGAATTTGACTCATAAAATCAGCTCCTGAGAATGTCTAACTTCTGAAGACTTGTCCCGCCAGTTTCCTGGGAGCACAGAGTGCCTCATTTCTGCTCTCCACTCTAAACCTTGCAGGGGGGTGCTGGAGGTCAGCAGCTTCCGGAGAACCTGATTTAATCCTTTTAGAGGTAGATGGCGAGCACCCACGGCAAGTGCCAATTTGTGGTTGACACTAGGGAATCTGGTTCAAAATCTTGCACTTTCCACTTTGCCACATGTTTCTTAGAGTATTATTCTCATATCTTGTGCGGTATTTTATGTGTTGGAGATTGAGAACAAGAAGCCTCATTTCAAAATGTGGAACTGTGTAAATTTACAGTATTATTATTATATATAGGAATATAAGGGGACTTGGTCTGTTTTACATACTTTATCTTATAGAACTCTGAGAAATGGCATGGATCCTCTCCATCACCGTTTTACTATCCAGAAAAAAGTGCTTTTGTTCCTTGAAAGTAGAGAAGTAAACCAAAAAATCAGTCAGAGGGGGAAACTCTTATGTTTGTTAAAGAATATTGTTATTATACTTACATCATTAAAAATTCTCTTCTAATTGTATGCACATTTAGTTAGTGAAAGTGATTCAGGGCTAAACAGTGTACTTTTTTATTGAAACCAAAAAGTATCTTCTAATCTTTGTTAATGTACATATGTATATTTCGCACTAACTTTTTGGTCTAGAACAATGAACTTTTTCATTGCTAGCAAGAAATGCAGGAAAAAATGTGATTAAACTCTCAACATGAATCTATTAGAAAGATGAAAATACATAAGATTAGACAGGAAACACAAACAGAAGAAATGTTGATACAATCATAAACTATTGTTCATTTCTGGTGCTTGATTTTAGGATAAAAAAGTACATTTCAGATATATCTGAAATTCTTACTAAGAAGAATAGTAAAATGTTTATTTTACTATTCACTACTGTGTGCGAGGTGAATTCTGGGCTTTAATCCCAAATTTTAAAATCTGAATTTATTTTAGATTTGAGTTGGCCTTTTCACATTACAATGAAGCAATGCTGGTTGTTTCAAAGTGATGGTTCTTTCATAGTTGGTTTTAGTAAACCTCCTCATGTTAGTGTGAAAATAAAAATGTATGAGACTATTTCCCACTTTGTCCATTTTATAGGAAATAATAGCTGTTTCTTTGTTTTTCTGTAGTATATTAGTCAACTTTTATGTGTATAAACGGATAATAACACTTCTAACCATGATAGGTAGTATTAGTTGTGTTTTTCAACTGATACTTTGATTCAGAAGCAAATTTATTTTTTGCTGAGAATGTTTGTTTTGTTATCAGGAAGAGTAAACCTATTTCACTGGATTCCATCTTAATGTTATGTCAATCTGTTTCCATTTCAGTGCCTTGTACTTATTAGCCAGTCCTGGCTGAGGAAGTTTGGTTACTATAAGATGATCTTATTTTCATTCTACCTAGAAGGAACAGCCTCCATTGTCATGTTGCTTCTTGGACAGCAGTACTATTACTTTTTGGCTCTGTATCTCACTGTTATCATGTAAGTAAATGCCAGTGTCAATCCCCAAATTACAGTAGATCGTGCCATTTCCTTTTAAGCAGTGAAACATCTTTGATCTGAAATGTGTTTAGTATTCATTTCTAGGCAGTCATTATACTTTTCTGTCTTCTTATTTGGGGGGGAACTTTTTTTTTAATGTGGAGTCTTTTTTTTTTCTTTTTTTAACCAAAAATGGTCTTTGTTGAATTTGTTACAATATTGCTTCTGTTTTATGTTTTGGGTTTTTTGGCCAGGAAGTATATGGGAATCTTAGCTCCCTGATCAGGGATTGAACCCATACCTCCTGCACTTGAAGGTGAAGACTTAGCCACTGGGCCACCAGGGAAGCCCATCTTTCTATCTTCATTTTTGCAGGGATTTCTTTCTTTTTATTTATTTATTTTTTCAGTTTTATTTATTTATTTTTTTACTTTACAATATTGTATTGGTTTTGCCATACATTGACATGAATCTGCCATGGGTGTACATGTGTTCCCCATCCTGAACCCCCCTCCCACCTCCCTCCCCATCCCATCCCTCTGGGTCATCCCAGTGCACCAGCCCCAAGCACCCTGTCTCATGCGTCGAACCTGGACTGGCAATTTGTTTCACATGTGATAATTTACATGTTTCAATTTTGCAGAGATTTCTAATGCTCAGTTTGGTAGTAAAGTTAAGTTCCTCTTTCTAACCTATTAAGTGCATCATTTAGTAAATCCTGCTGCCAAATAAAGATCTTATCCCCCAAAGATGTTCTTTGCCACCTTGGGAAATGGCTCTACCATCTATCTAGTTGCCCGGGTCGGAGACTGAGAAGTTGTCTTTGCCATCCCTTTCTTGTCTCCTGCATCTAATAAGCTACCAGTTATTGGCAGTTTTAGCTCCCTAAGATGTCCTGAATCCATCCCTTCTCTGTTCCCATTGTAACTCCTTTAGCTTAGGTCCTCGTCATCTCTTACCTGGATTTCCATATAACCTCCTACATGGTCCCCTTGCCCCTAGTCCCCAGGTGCTTCTAGAATAGCGTGTCATTCCTTTGCTTAAGTGGCTTCTCCGTGCTTTCAGGATATAATGCAAAATGATAACATATGAGGCCCTTTGTTATACAGGCCCTATTTACCTCGACATCTTCATTTCTTGTTACTCCTCCACTTACAACGAACTCTTGCCCTAGAGAAACACTTTGCAGTGTCAGGTTCAAACACCTCTGTGTCTAACATGCACCATTCTATGCCTGAAAAGCTTTCACCGTTCTTACCTGGCTCTCTCCTAGTGTTTCTTTAGGCTGCAGCTCAGGGATGTGCTTTCTGGAAAGCCTTCCTCAGTTTCCTCATCTGGATTAGGTATCCCTCCTACATGACCCCAATGTCCCATGCTTATCTCTATAGCATTGATCCTCCTGTCTGTGACTATCTTTGGCCCCCACTGGACTGAGCTTTATTATAAGTAAGATCTAGTTTCTTATTACTGTGGCCCCATCATCTACTACAGTTCCTACAAATAGTTGGTCCTTAGAAAATGTGTTTTGGGTGAATGAACTAATAAATCTAACTCCAGGTCCCTGATGGAACAACTTGAGAAGATTTAACTGCATTTTGAGTAAATCAGAAGTGGCAAATATAGTAATTAACTCAAAGTATTGATCTCTGTAAAACCTGAAGATTTAGCACCCCATATAGATAACTATTCTGTAATTCTACCATGGTAGTTCTGGTTATGTCATATTTAAAAGATGTTTTAATAGTGATTTTTAGAATGAAAATTTTTGTTTGCTTTTTCTTCTTTTTACTTAAACCATTCCCCCATTTTCTTTCTTCTACCATAATTAAAATGTTTTATGTCCCTTAATAGTTCTTAATTTTCCTCTTGATACCAAAAGATTTCTGTATTGGGTGTGATGTTGAACTAGAAGACTTTCTAAGTGCTTCTCCAGTTAAAATATATTGGAATTTAAATATATATATGTATTTAATTATTTGGGGGCTGTGCTGAATCTTTGTCGCTTCGCAGGCTTTTCCCTAGTTCCGGCAAGCAGGGGCTACTCTTACCTGCCATACATGGGCTTCGTGTTGCAAGGCACAGGCTCTAGGGCTCTCAGGCTTCAGTAGTTGCAGTTCGGAGGTCTCAGTCATTGTGGCTCCCTGGCTATAGAGCACAGGTTCAATAGCTGTGGTACACAGTCTTGGCTGCTGTGTGTGGCATATGGGATCTTCCCAGACCAGGGATTGAACCCGAGTCTCCTGCATTGGCAGGAGGATTCTTTACCACTGAGCCACCAGAGAAGCCCTGGAATTTATTTTATTAAATACTACATATGCAATATTTTAGTTAGCTCATTGTTTTTTGCATGGGACGAAGATTGTACAAAAGAAATAAAAGAAGATAATATACCTTTCCTTAGCTTATGATAAACAATTAGCTAACATAAGCAGTAGATTTTAAAGTTAAACTGAGAAAAAGTTTAAAATATCTCCTGTACTTGACTTCTGCTATCAAAGATTTAAGCAGATTTAACGAACAGGTAGTCAACTAAGAATGAGTAAAAAGCATAGTAAAATTGTCAAAATGTATTTATTTTATTTTTAAAAGAGAATTATATATTCATAGATACATTCTGGGAGGATAGAAGTGTGTGCCTAATGTATTTTTATTTTTATAACATATCATTTCATTTTTCCTTTTCTGCAAACCAAATGTCAACTTTGACGTTTGATTTTTAAACAAATTTATGTCTCCTAGTTATACAATTTTCATATGTGTACTTTAAAATTGTTTCTAGGGTGATTGTGCAAGCTTCTTTTTGCTTATTTAACCTGCCACTGGCTGACATGGTCGATGCAGACTTACTGAAGTTCAATCGGCAGTAAGTATATTTTTCAAATATTAGCTATACAGATATCACATAGAGGAAGAACATATTAGTATCTCCGTATCTCAGTTATATTGCCACTATAAATCACATAACTGAGAGATGGTCATAAGAAGCAGCATTGGAAGTCAGAGAGCACAACATAATAAGATATTCATAGTTGTTCACCCTGGGCAACTTTTCCCTGCTTTTGAAAGGACATGGTAATTCTTCATCCCAAAACTTCATACGGCTGGTGCTACAATAAGGTTAAATCTCAGAAACCAAAGTGAAATCTCAAATAGCTTTATTATATAATATAGTAAGTCCCCTAAGTACAAACCTTCAAGTTGCAAACTTTCAAAGATGTGCATGTATTCCATCAACTTCAGGCTAAGTGAAATTCCAGCTTGCCCTCCCATTGCTGACAATCCTTTAGCTCTATCTGGTCTCATTTCTTCTCCCTCCTCCAGTTAGTAACTCTTCTTGCCTGTTCACTCAATGCCAACTGTTGTACTGTAAGATTAAAAATGCTTTCTTTATGTTTTGTGTTTGTTTTTTATGTATTATTTGTGTGAAAGGTATTATAAACTATTATAGTACAGTATTATATAACCAACAGTGTTAGTTGGGTACCTAGGCTAACTTTGTTGGACTTATGAATGCGTTCTTGGAACATAGTTCATTTGTATGTAGGGGACTTACTGTACTGCACTGGATGATCAGGCAAAGTGACCTTTACTCTGTAGCATCACAAGAATTGAAATTGAAAATCAAGGTCCATCTTATCCTTTTTTTACTTGAAAAAGTATAAGCTGATGATGAGAGGTTTTGTTCTTCAGTATGGTTATTATAAATGCTTTAGATCAGCCATAAAATTCACTTGACTGGCACATATTTTCTGATATGTGCCCTATTTTATGGATTAGAGAAGAATGTGTTATTTTAAGACCAGCACAGTCTTTATTAGCTTTATAGAAACCGCATGGCCTTTTTTTTTTCTTCAGTCGCTCAGTTGTGTCCAACTCTTTGCGACCCCACAAACTGCAGCATGCCAGGTCTCCCTGTCCATCACCAACTCCCAGAGTTTACCCAAACTTATGTCCACCGAGTCATTGATGCCATCCAACCATCTCCACCTCTGTCGTCCCCTTCTCCTCCTGCCCTCAATCTTTCCCAACATCAGGGTCATTTCAAATGAGTCAGTTCTTCGCATGAGGTGGCCAAAGTATTGGAGTTTCAACTTCAGCATCAGTCCTTCCAATGAACACCCAGGACTGATCTTTAGAATGGACTGGTTGGACCTCCTTGCAGTCCAAGGGACTCTCAAGAGTCGTCTCCAACACCATAGTTCAAAAGCATCAATTCTTTGGTGCTCAGCTTTCTTTAGAGTCCAGCTCTCACATTCATACATGACTACTGGGAAAACCATAGGCTTGACTAGATGGACCTTTGTTGACAAAGTAATGTCTCTTAATGTAACTTAAATTGAAGGAAGCTTTGCCAACTTGGTGATTTCTCCTTTAAATAATTTCTTCCATGTTTCAGAGTTTGTTGCTAAGTCATATTTGGAGTGATGAGCAAGAAGGTGAGCTCCTTATGTTTCAGAACTATGTCCCTGATGCCTAGAAAAATGACAGGCTTAAATCAGTTTTAAAAAAATAAATTAACAAGAAGAAATGTCAGTAAACATCTTTTAACACTCAAATTCTTTTTGAATGAAACTGGGTACTCATGAATAAAATGCCTCAAACAGTTGGAAGGGGAAGGGCACCGATATTTACCAAATGCCAGTGTGTACAAGCACTGTATGGCTTTTGCTCATTCAAGTCTCATACCAGCTGTGTGTGATGGATATTACTGACTCAAAAAATATTTATTGATTGCCTCCTGTATGTCAGGCCCTGTAGTCAATGCTAGGGATACAATACAGCAGGTTTTGTAGTAGCAAATCCCTTCTAAAAACATACTCTCCTATGCACGTGCTGGATTCTTCTGACTGAATGGCTATTCTTGAAGAGACATATGCTTTTCTGCTCCCATAAGTTGTGTCCTTATCAAGAGTCAGTACTTTTTGTTTCAAACTGGTTAATGTCAGATGCAATTGTTATTATAATTCCATTTGTGCTGTGCTAAGTCCTTTCAGTCGTGTCCAAATCTTTGTGACCCTATGGACTGGAGCCTGCTAGGCTCCTCTGTCCATGGAATTTTCCAGGCAAGAGTACTGGAGTGGGTTGCCATTTCCTCCTCTGGGGGACCTTCCCAACCCAGGGATCGAACCCAGGTCTCATGTCTCCTGCGTTGGCAGTCAGGTTCTTTACCACTAGCTCCACCTGGGAAGCCCCATAATTACATGTAGTTACACATATTTTATAAACTTAGGAAATATATGTATGAAATTAAACATTTCTATGAAAACTAAGTTCAATGCTTTAGAAAGACCTCATAAAGTATAAAAAAATTACTACCAAATCTCATGTCTTGAGAACTTCAAATGTTTAGGAAAATAGAAAAATCTAAAAGTATTCTGTATTCAGAATGCCTTGTAAACAACTTTAGGTTCTCTCTATAACTGATGGTAGACACCATAGATCCTGTTGTTTGGATAGTGTACATGCCAGAAAGATGGCACTTTGATCAGTGGACCTGCACTCAAAAAAAGAGATAAGTAAATGAATATAGTTAAGTTGAAATAGAATGGTCAATGTCTCGTCTTCTGAAAATGATTTTTTTTTGCTTCAGTCAACTGTTGTCCTGATCATGTCAGATAAGAACTTAATCAGAGAGCCAAAGCAGATATAACCCTTGTCCTTGTGACTTTGATGGTCTAATGGAGGATACTGATGGCAGTTATCTTCTTATATTATCATGAAATCATAATTATCCTCATTTTTAGAAAACTAAAACTCTTGAGGAGTTTCCCAGGGTAATGTAAGCACAGATTGAAGAACTAGGGATGAAACTCAAGCTCTTATCTTCTTCCAGCTTCTTCCAATTCTCTGGCCTCATTTTTTCTCTTTCCTTTTCTTTTTTTCTTCCCTTTCTTCACCTCCCCCTTTTTTTCTCTTCTTCTTCCTTAGTTGCAAGTTTTCCATCATCGGTTAAAACATGGACAAAATTTCAGTTTATTCAGGCAATGCCCTTGATTTATTTTATATGCTGTAACTTAATTATCAAAAAGTGATATGGCAGGATTCTCACTGAGAATGTATTAAAGTAATCCTTTATAAAATTTGAGGAGGAAGACTTAGGTGTGAATCCCAGTTCTATTAGTTGCTAGCTGTGTGTCTGTGGAGAAGCTAGTCTGCCCTCCCAGCCCTACAACAGGAGTGATAATACCTTCCTCACAGGATTGTTGTGGGGCTTATGTGAAATAATACATGTTGTTGCTGGAGGTATTGTGGGTTCAGTTGCAGACCAATGCAATAAAGCAAATATGGCACTAAGGCAAGTAACAAATTTCTTGTTTTTCCAATGCATATAAAAGTTATGTTTATACCATACTGTAGTTTTTAAAGTATGCAATAGCATTGCGTCTAAAAATGTACATACCCTAATTTAAAAATTCCTTCTTGCTAATGAAAGTGAAATGTCCAAACAACTACAATAGTAACATCAGAGATCATTGATTACAGATCACTGTAACAAATAGAATAGTAATGATAACCTTTGATATATGGCAAGAATTATCAAAATGTGACTCAGAGGCAGAAAGTGAGAAAATTCTGTTGGAGAAACAGATTTGTTCAATGGAGGTTTATGACAACTGTGCATTATCAGATGATGGTCAGCATTTTATAGATTGTTTCTATTCTTGTCTATTTAGGCTCAAGGAGGACTTAATAGTCAGAAAGGTCCTTGATACTTGTACACATATACATAGTGTGTATACACATACATATATACATACAAGTAATTGGTGTGTGATGTAGACTTATGCTACTTTTTTCTGTTCCAGGTCACCCCTTTCCTCCATGGTCTTTGGCATCAATGCTTTATTTACCAAACCTGCTCAGTCTTTAGCTCCCATGGTGATACTCTCAAGGCTAAACCAGTTTGGATACAGAAACCCAAACAAAAGGTGGAGTAAAAAAACACTTTGGAATAATGTAATAGAAATATGAATGCAAACTCAACCTTTTACATTGATGACTGGGTGATATCTCAGACTTTGGACAGTATAAGTCATTAACTTACAGGTTGTGAGTAAACTATAATAAAAAATATTAATGTCAAACAACCTTCAGTAGGAATACCTTTGAAGTGAAGTGAAGTGAAAGTTGCTCAGTCGAGTCTGATGGGACCCCATGGACTATACAGCCCTTTTGCAAAGGGCTCCCTGACTTTCCCTTTCTCCAGGCCAGAATACTGGAGTGGGTAGCCTTTCCCTTCTCCAGGGGATCTTCCTAACCCAGGGATTGAACCCAGGTCTCCTGCATTGCAGGCAGATTCTTTACCAGCTGAGCCACAAGGGAAGCCCAAGAATACCGGAGTGGGTAGCTTAGCCCTTCTCCAGGAGATCTTCCTGACCCAGGAATCGAACTGGGGTCTCCTGCACTGCAGGTGGATTCTTTACCAACTGAACTATCAAGGAAGCCTTTAAGGGTATTCTTTAAATTATGTATGCTACAAATGTCTACATAATTCACACTAAGCTACATACGGATTGCTTTTCTACATCATTCACTCATTTATCATTTCATTCCACAAATGTTTCTGAGGGCCTGCTGTTATCTGCCAGGTTCAAAGGTGCTGGGGATACAAGATAAATAGGAGATAAATAAGAAGTCTCCATGGAGCCCCACAGCTTGCAAAACACTGTCTAAGGCCTCACCAGCCTTTGGTGATAACGCGACACTGTGGCAATGCAGGGAAGAGGTTCCTACCTACTTCTGTCTGCCTAAAGTCAGGGAGCCCTTTGCAAAAGAAAGGTTTCTTGAGCTGAATTTTGGAGGTTGAGTGGATTTTCTCTTCTGAACCCGGAGGAATGTCATTCCAGGCAGAGAAAACAGTGTGGCAAATGTCTGGAAGCATGAGAGAACACTCATGAAGGTATTCATGTATTCAGTTGGCAAACATTGTCCAGAACCTGCCACATCCTAGGCTCCGTGATAAGGCAGTGAACAGCAGGGAACAAAACAACAGAAGCCTCTGCCCTCACAGAGCTTATGTTCTAGCGTGAGGGAGGCAGACAAGAAATTAGCTAAGTAAAATACACAGTGTGTTAGTTGGTGAGAAGCCCTCTGGCGAAAAATAAAACAAGAAGGATGGGACGGCTTGGGGAAAGCTGAATTTTTACATAAGGTGATGGGGAAGTCTCACGACTAAGCAGGTGACATTTGAATAAAGACCTGAAGGAAGGTGGGAGGGAAGCAGGGTGCTCTTGGGTAGGAGTGTTCCCGGCAGAAAGAACAGTGAGTGCAGACGCACTGAAGTGCAGCAGGTCTGGCACTCGGTCTGATGAGGAGGCTCCCTGTGTGGCTGGAGCAGAGTGAGCAGGCGGAGACCAAACCCACTGGTCCTTGCAGCCCTTCTTTACTGCTCTGGTTTCACTACGAGGTAAATGGTGATGGTGAGGTAGCGGAGGATTTATTCATTTGTTTATCTGACTTTTTTTAGAGCAGTTTTTTTAAAAGGATTCTTTATTATTACTGGGCTTCCCTGATGGCTCAGAGGGTAAAGCGTCTGCCCACAATGCAGGAGACCTGGGTTCGATATCTGGGTCGGGAAGATCCCCTGGAAGAGGGCATGACAACCCACTCCAGTATTCTTGCTTGGAGAATCCCGTGGACGGAGGAGCCTAGAAGGCTACAGTCCACGGGGTCACAAAGAGTCGGACACGACTGAGCGACTTCACTTTTCACTTTGCTTATTATTGTTGTTGGCTGCGCTGGCTCTTCTTTGCTTTTTTTGGTCTTTCTCTAGCTGCAGTGAGCGTGGGCTACTATTCCTTGTAGTACACAGGCTTCTCATTGTGGTGGCTTCTCTGGTTGAGGAGCACAGGCTCTAGGCTGCTCCGGCTTCCGCCGTTGCCACATGTGGGCTCTGGGGCTCATCAGCTTCGGTAGTTGTGGCTCACAGGCTCTAGAACATTGGTTTAGCAGTTGTGGAGCACAGGCTTAGTTGCTCCTTGGTATGTGGAATCTTCCCAGACTGGGAATCGATTCCAAGTCCCCTGCATTGGCAGGCAGATTCTTATCCTCTGCACCACCACGGAAAGTCCTAGAGCAGTTTTAGGGTCACAACAACATTGGACAGAAAGTACACAGAGTTCCTATAAATTCTCTGCCCTCCCACACTATCAGCATTCCCAGCCGGAGTGGTACGTAATCCACGAGCCTACATCCTTATCACCAAGGTCCATAGTTTACATTAGAGTTTGTGCTTGGTGTTACACATTCTATGGATTTTGACAAGTAACCCATAGAATAATGACATATGGACAATGACATGTGTCCACCATTACAGTATCATACAGAATAGTTTTACTGCCCTAAAAATCCTCTGTATATCCATCCCTCCGTCCCCCCAGCACTGATAGCTACTGATCTTTTTACTATCTCCACAGTTTTGCCTTTTCCAGAATGTCATACAGTTGGGATCATACTTTTCATACTGGCTTCTTTCACTTAGTAGTACACATTTAAGATCCCTCCATTTCTTTTCATGGTTTGACAGCTGATTGAACCTGAGTCTTCTGTATTGCAGGCAGATTTTTTACTTCCCGAGCCACCAGGGAAGCCCTAATTTCTTTTTAGCACTGAATAAATATCCCATAGTGTAGATGTACCCTAGCTTGTTTATTCATTCACCTACTGAAAGACATCTTGGTTGCTTCCAGGTTTTGGCAATTATGAAGAAAGCAGCTATAGACATCATGTGCAGGTTTTTGTGTGGACATAAGTTTTCAACTCCTTTGGGTAAAGACCAAGGAACACAATTGCTGGATAATATTATAAACGTATGTTTCATTTTCTAAGAAACTGCCAACCTGTTTTCCAAAGTGACTATACCATTTTAATTTCTCATTGGCAAAGAAATGGGAGTTTTTGTTTCTCCACCTCCTTATCAACATTTGGTATTGTCAGTGTTCTGGATTTTGGCCATTCCAATAGGTGTATAGTGGTATCTCATTTTAACCTGCAATTCTCTAATGACATATTATCTGGAACATCTTTTCACATGGTTGCCAACTGTATGTCTTTGGTGAGGTATCTGTTCGGGTCTTTTGCCCATATTTAAATCAGGTTGTTAGTTTTCTTATTGCTGAGTTTTAAGATCCTTTGTACATTTTGGATATCAGTCCTTTGTTTGATATGCCTTTTGCAAATATTTTCTCCCATATATGACCTGTCTTCTCATTCTCTTGACAGTGTCTTTGGCAGAACAGAAGTTTTTACTTTTAATGAAATCCAGCCTATCAATGATTCTTTCATGTACTGTGCCTTTCATGATATATCTAAAAAGTCATTGCCACCTAGATTTTCTATTCTTTCTTTTAGGAATTTATAGTTTTGCATTTTACATTTACTCCTGTGATCCATTCTGTGTTAATTTTTGTAAAAGGTAAAAGATCTATATCTAGGTTAATTTTTGGCATATAGATGTCTAATTGTTCTAAGATCATTTGTTGAAAAGAATACCTGTTCCTCATTTTATTGCCTTTGCTCCTTTGTCAAAGATCAGCTGATTGGATTTATGTGGGACTATTTCTGGCCTCTCCATTCTACTCCACTGATCTGATTGTCTTCTCTTCTGTCAATATCACAGTGTATTTTTCCTCTTCCAGTTTTACTGAAATATAATTGACATACAGCACTGAATAAGTTTAAGGTGCAAAGCATGATTTGTCTTACATACAACAGGAAATGACTGTCACAAGTTTCGTGAATATCCATCATCTCATATATTGATAGACACAACACAGTGTCTTATTACTGTAGATTTATAGTAAGTCATGATGTCAAGTAATATCAATCCATTGACTATTCTTTTTCAGTATTGCATTGGCTATTTTTCATCTTTCTCATATAAAACTTATGATCAGTTTGTTGATACCCACAAAATAACCTTCTGGAATTTTGTTACAGCTTGTGTTGAACTTATAGATCAAGTTAGGAAGAACTAACATCTTGACAGTACTGAGTTTTCCTATCCATGAACATGGAGTATCTCTGTTTATTTAGTTTATCTTTAATTTCTTTCATATCTTGTTAGATTTATATCTAAGTGTTTCATTTGGGGGGTGCTAATGTAAATGGCATAATACTTTTAGGTTTAAGTTTCATTGCTGGTGTGAAAGTGTTAGCCACTCAGTAGAGTCTGACTCTTTGTGACCCCATGTACTATAAGTCCACCAGGATCCTCTGTCTATAGCATTCTCCAGGCAAGAACACTGGAGTGGGTTTGCATTTACTTCTCCAGGGGATCTTCCCGACTGAGGGTTTGAACCCAGGTCTCCTGCGTTGCAGGCAGATTCTTTACCTGAACCACCAGGGAAGCAGGAAAGCAATTGACTTTTGTATGTTAACCTTTTAACCTGCAACCTTGCTATAAATGCTTGTTAGTTTCAGAGGTTGCTTTTTTGTTTTTAGTTGTTGGTTCTTTTGGATTTTCTACAGACAGGAATTGATTTTTTAAAGTTTTCCTTATACCTCTCGTATCTCTATTATAAATATTTTCAAATATACAGAAAGGTTGAAAAAGTTGTACAGTGAAAATATATACTCACCACCTAAATTCAACTATATCTTACTATATTGATTTTAGCACATATAGATAAAAGTATCCATCCTTCTGTCTATATATATCAGGTCATTTTGTTTTTCTTCAGAACACTTTTTAAAATTTATTTATTTTTTAATTGAAGGATAATTGCTTCACAGAATTTTGTTGTTTTCTGTCAAACCTCAACATGAATCAGCCATAGGTATACATATATCCCCTCCCTTTTGAACATACCCCCTATCTCCCTCCCCTGTTTTTCTTCATAACTTTTTATTATGAAAAATTTTAAACACAAATTGAAAGAAAAATTTTGAGAAAATCCAGGCACCCACTCCTTAGATTCAACAGTTTTGA